TTCCACTTGACACGATCTCCCACATCTTCTACGCTCACATCAGCTGTCCTCAAATCGCATTCAATAGCATCCCTCCATCTCTTTTTTGGTCTTCCTCTATCTCTTCTTCCTTCAACATTCATTTCTATAACTGTTCTTACAGCTTTCGATTCTTCTTTCCTCATACCATGACTAAATAATCTAAGTCTATTTTCTGTCATCTTATCCACGATTGACGCAACACTTATACTTCCTCTTATATTTTTGTTACTTATTCTATCTTTTCTAGTCACTCCACTCTTCCAACTAAGCATTCTCATCTCTGCTACACGTATTCTCTGCTCTACTTTCTTATCAACCGCCTAACACTATAAACCATACATCATAGCTGGCCACACAATTTTATACTAAATTTAAAAACTATAATTAGTATTTATTCATATATTATATTTTAAAATCAAAGAACTACTAATCAGGATATAATTAAAGAAATAAGAGTTCATGTTGCTTTTAAAATATTTCACCAATTTCTCTAAAGGAAACACTATCTACAGATTTGCATCGAAGCGTTTCTTATGATAGTGATTTTAATCACTGTCAGATATCATCTATACTNGAAGCGTTTCTTATGATAGTGATTTTAATCACTGTCAGATATCATCTATACTTGTCCCATCTATGCCTCGTCCACACTGTGTCTCGACCCCACTGTGCTACCGTTTTTGAAACTTAGTTTTTCTCGTTTTTCAATAATATGTTTGATTTTTATTTTTTCACATTTCAAATTAAATAGATAATTCAAATAATTTCTAAATTTATTAAATGGACACTTTGTATGTATTTATAATATTTTGTCATATGAACTTACCAAATTGTATAATATGAATAAAATAATAAAAAATCCTATTTCCAGTATGTTGAATCATGAATTCATAATAGTTTTGTTTAGGTTTGACAGTTTGTTTTCTAAAAAGAAACTATGTTTATTTTTGCTTATATTAGAAAAATTAATTTAAAAAATTATCATTTCATTAGTTTGTACTTCACAGTTAAACAATTTTACCAGTATAGTTTTCATAATGAACATTATATAAGAACAAAAAATGTTCTCTAAAGATAATCGAGTGTAAAATATGAAAAATGAATACTTATAGTTTACATTTAAATGCGTCTAAATTTTGTATTATTCAATATGAAGGGCGTTACAAAAACTATGGATTAATATTTTTTTAAGAATATCTATTTAATTATTTAATTGTTGTAACCGTTTGTCTATTGTAAATAAATAAAAAAATTAGTAGTTAATGTTTTTGTATTTTTGATGATATGACAAAAGGCATAGTTAATCATTCATCCTGCATAGTTAATAAATCGATTATTTATAAGTTAATTATAATATATAAATAATTATTAAAGATAATAAAACCTATAATTTTGTCATAGAAAACAAAACTACTAATGCACCTTTCAGAACAGGCAAAAAAAATGACTGACTGATAACAACTTTTGGACCAGCACTTTGGACGTTGTTCTTATTTTTATATCTAGACAGTCGGGTAATGACTAATGATAAATATAGAATTAACCAGTTCTCATCTACAGTCTTTATTTTAAATTGTTAATAACTTCTGAAATATAGGTCATTTTTTTAATTAGATTATGTTGCCATTTAAAAAAATAATTTGATACCTTTTTAAGTTGTATAGAATAATTCTAAAAAGTAATTATTAGCTGAATCAATAATTATATGTAGATAAAAGAAATCAAAATTTTTTATATTTATATGTATTGTTATATACAAAACTTAAGTAGATATTTGTTGAGGGAATTGAGGGAAGAGACGATCTATTTATTTTTCTTAAGAAAGAAAAATTCTTAAGATAGTAGAGCAGAAAATGAGTGTAGCAGAGATGAGAATGCTTAGATGGATAAGTGGAGTGACTAGAAAAGATAGAATAANTAATTAGTAGTATGTACAATTTTATAATCTTTAACCACTCTGTATATATTAAGGCGGTCTTTATATTTCAACTATCAGAACTTGTGCATGTGTAACATTTAAATAGATATTTGTTAAAAATTTAAAACTGTAAGATTTCCACAAAAATTATTACCGCGTCATTTTTATTAGTTTTACGTCAATGTCGCAAACAAATTTGTAAAAAACTTTTTTAGACAACATAATTTACTACAATATTAATTCAGGGCAACTTTTTTTATTTATAATATGTAAAAGATATACTTAAAAACTAAATGTGTACCATGTTTATAGATATTAGTCAACTTTGAAGGACGTGAAGTTGTTGACTTAGAAAGTTATTAAAATTTACTGTTACTATATAGACTAAAATTCTGGCCTTTTAGGAAGGTTAGCAACATCATTATCAGGGGTTTAGGATCAAAAAAATGTATCAACCAATTTTATACATTTATACTTTTAACTTACATAACTTAATTTATTAGAGTATAAAAATGATTTATTGTTGATATAAGTCCGTCAATACTTAAAAAAAACTGTTGTTAATATTATTACATCTTAATTTTAACAGTCTATGAGCTGAATTTAAATATGTAAAAAGTTTGTAAGAGATCAGAAAATGTTCAGATAATTTGTCATATCAATGAGTAAACATTGGAGAACACGAGGTAGGTGACATGAAAAGACCAGTGACAATAGGCGACGACGCGATTGTAGAGGTGGAAAGTATTTAGGATCAGTTGTGCAAAAGAGCGGTGGTATTGAAGAGGATGTAAGACACAGAATTAAATGCGGGTGGTTAAAGTGGAGAGAAGCGTCAGGTGTCTTATGCGATAAAAAAAATCCAATGAGGCTGATAGGCAAATTCTACAAGACTGTAGTAAAACCAGCTATGATGTATGGTTCAGAGTATTCGGCGGTTGATAAGATAGTAGAGCAGAAAATGAGTGTAGCAGAGATGAGAATGCTTAGATGGATAAGTGGAGTGACTAGAAAAGATAGAATAAGGAACGATCATATAAGAGGAAGTATAGGTGTAGCATCAATCGTGGATAAGATGAGAGAAAATAGACTTAGATGATTTAGTCATGTTATGAGGAGAGAAGAAAGCCGTAAGAACAGTTATAGAAATGAATGTTGAAGGAAGAAGAGGTAGAGGAAGACCAAAAAGAGATGGAGAGATGTTATTGAATGCGATATGAGAACAGCTGATGTAAGCGTAGAGGATATGTTTGATCGTGTCAAGTGGAAGTTTAGGATAAGGGTGGCCGGCCCCAAGTAGTTAGGATTAAGGTGAGGAAAAAAAAGAAGAATAAGTAAACATTTTAGTTAGCTTTAGCATTGATTATACAAAATCCGAATAAAAGAATTTTTGTTTTTAGTTACCTCAATAAGCTTTGATAAAAATATTATTAATAAACAAATATTTTAATTAAAATAATATTGTACAAAAAAAATTAAATTAATACCACAAGTATATTTAACGTTCAAGGCCCAAATTCTGTTTTTCATTGTGAGCTTTGTGAGCGGCTTGTCTCTTTAAGCTTGGTGGTATGAAGACTGTTAAGAGGCTCCCAATAGCCAATAAACAGATAATCATTATATTTGCAAATTTGTCACCCATTGTAGCGAATACCCAACTATAAACAGAGGTTAAGATGAACCCTATTAGTTGTGTTCCTCCATTTAATAAGCCACTAGAAGTTCCTTCTGCTATTGGGTAAGTAATTTCTATAGCTAACTCGTAGCCCACTGGTAGGTATCCGGTCATAAAAAGCCTTAAAACATAAATGAAGTATCATTAGAATGTATTTTGTTTTAATCAAGATTAATATAACTTATGAAATTGGAATCAATATGAGTCAAGTGCCAAAACTTAAAAACAGTTAATGGAATTGCTTAATATGTTTAAAGATAAATAATATGCAAAACAAATTAAGTGTTTTATTTATTTATTATTAATGAGTAAAATAATATTCATAATACTATTTGGTAGCAATTGAAATAATTTATTATTTACAGTATTCATAATAGAATAAATATTATTTGAAATCAACTAATTGACATTTATTACATTATTTATGACAAGTTTTTGAGTGTTACACATTTAAAATCCATTACAGAGCAATTAAGCGATATTTTTAATTAAGATTCTTACCCTAAAAGTGAGGCTGTCAAATATATAGTCCAAATGGATTTACTATTCGATAGACTAAAAGCGTAGATAACCATAGATATCAATGTACCAGTATATATAACTAAAGTAGTTTCTCTGTAAAAAAAAAAATCATTTTCTTTAGATCGTATATAATTTGTGAGTGTATTTAGGGTAAGTTTTTTTTTTTAATGACAAAAATATCCATTAAAAGAGAAAATAAAAATACAAATAATATGACTTAGTAAAATTAATTTTGTATATATGTGGGAATTTTTTCAATTCTCGCAGATAAGTTATATTTTAGTGGAACTGTTGTAAGAATGATATTTTAAAAGATTGATAATGAAGTAATTGTTAGCTAGATAGAAAAATGACAATTGTAAATGTTTTTATTTCAATTGTAAAAGTTTGTTCATAATTAATTACATTTTAAGTGAGTTGTCACGATGAAACTCTTAAAAGTTAATCGATAACAGCCATAGTCAACTCCTATGGTGTTGATTCTAGCAACAAATTGTAAAAACTTATAAAATGTATGTTGTAAAAACTCAAGAACTTTTGATGTATAAAAAAATATATAAATGCACATCCTTTTGATTTTTATACTATTGTATGTATTTCTAAGGTAATATTTGATAAATAATTTTAAGTATAATATTTACCAAATGTTTAGTTTATTGCTTTATGACACTATTAATTTATTACTTTAGGATCACGTTTTTTTTCCAACTAGATAATAATTAATTAAATTTGATAAATTATTGAATGAGATTAAAAACAAAAAAAAATAGGATTATTTATGTTTTCTTACAATATTATTATGATATATAATAATATTAATATTCATTCATATTATAAGATAACAATATTTGGCAACTCAATAATAATTTAATACGTATTTTTTAATATAACTTTAAATTGATTATTATATTTTATAAATACTATTTAATTTTCCGATTAAATAAAAATAGAAAATTACAAAAATTACTTATATAAATGAGTTTTGTCTAAAATGTAACCGCAAAGGATTGAACCGGCAAGTCCACTCATAACTAATGAAAGTCCGATACGTCCTACATCTTCTTGGTGACCCTGTAATGCGATAAACATATGTTAAGTTAGTGTTTCATAAAATATTAACTATATTAATATAAACTAAAAATGGTCATGTTACGCACCGGGAAGTATTGGAGTATAAATTGGCTAAACAGAGTAGATATGGCATAAAAACAGCCGGAATTTATACCGTAAGATATAAGTAGTAGAACATAACCTTTGCTTTTCATGAGATCTTTCATTGAACTTACAAATGCGTCATTCATTATTGTTGGATCATCTCTTTGCTTTCGCTGTGCTACTTGAGCATAACTTGGGGCTAATAATGGTTCTGACTTTACACCTATACGAATTAATACAGTGTTTAGATAAAAAAAAAACAAATTAAATTTATACATCGATGGCAAAAAAAATCCAGTATACTCGATATCTAGCATAGAAACTCTATTCTAGAATGGAATTTGACAGCGATTAACATTACTAGCATAAAACGCTTCAAGCTACTGTTTATAAAGAAAAACCAGGAAGAAAAATTTTTATTCACATGCCATTTTTACAGAAAATTGTATTTTTGGCTTTAAAGCTTGAGGTTGATTTTAAATATTTGAGTCCGTTAATTTCTATAAATACATTTTCCATAGTCTTTACTCAAAGTACGTTGTATAAGCCTTAATTTAGTACAGGGTTAGAGAAGTCAGGTTTTTTGTAAAAAATTGCGTATGATTTTTATGTTATAAATTGGGTTTTCAAACAAGTATGATATTAATGAAGTAAATTTTTAAAATATCGTCAATGAAAATTGACAGAAATTTCATTTGATATCATTGAAATAGGTAGAAAACAAAAAATAAAACAGTGCCTTCCTATATACACATCAAAGCGAAAAGTTATTAAACTTTTGAATAACTTTAAACTTAGTTATTTACAATTTAGTTTAATAAGATTTAATATACAGATATTTTCATATACATATATTACTATTTAGTGATAAGTTAAAAACTAATAAAAAACTTACTCCAGAGTACCAAGAAAAACACAGCGGTGTTGACAATAGCGAAAGAAAAAAACATTGTGCGAAATTCATTTCCTATTTCACTTAAGTTATCGCTGTCATGAACCATCATTGGTGGAATTAGGAAGCCTAATGCTCCTCCTAACTGAAAATGCAATTGATGTTTAGAAAAGTTGATGAACCTTCTTTTACTTATCATAAATTATGTAAAATATAAGAAAATATGGTATTATAATTTCATAACTATATACCCCAGTGTTGATGTGTACAAAGAAATTAAAAATCACTATAAATTAATAGGAATTTATTAATTGTATATGATTTTACCAAAATAATGTAAAGATTATTATAAAATTTTTAGATTTACAAGTTTAATACTCTTGTTTTTTTCGTTTTTACGTTCTATTGAGAGCTTTTGGCTTCCCCTAAAAGGAAGTTTTTTAACTATGGATATTATGCAACGGGTGGTTAGTCTACACTGGAGAGAGAAGCTCTCGCCCACCATACAGATCCACCTCTGACCGAGTCTCAAACCCGAAAAAGTGCGCATAAAAGACTGATGCGTTGTCGCTCCGTCATAATGTCCTACTGTTTTTCTTACTAATTATATTTTAGCAACAACTTATGAAATGCCTATAAAGTTTGTAATTACGGTCCAAAATTTACTTGGATCGGATAGAGTGTGTAACGCGTGTCAACTAAAAACTCAATGATGGACTGTAAACATAGTGTGTGTATTAATTGTGTTATGTGATAAAATAATGTTTATTTATTTTCTAATAATATTTTTTGTAAGAATGCAGTAGATGTGAATTTTCAAAGCAAATACTACAATTGCAAAAGTTGTGCATAGACATTTTCTATTATAAGTCCCCTATTGAAAATTTAATGTACAAATAAATGATACCTAGTACTTAAGTTGTTTAACATACATATCATATTCATAATACAGTATTTACGAGGTCATTGTCGTTAATATGTACAATGAATATTGCTAACATCCTGTCATGTGCTCGCTTTAGATAGATATTACATAGTATAATATAACACTAAAAGATATAACATTATAAAATTAAGAAATAATTTAAAAGTATTTCTACATCCTAAAGAAGTTATTAAAAAGTGGTCCACGACCTTGAATAAACTCAAGAGATATATTTTATGGAAATCAAAAGTCAGGAAGTATTTGGAATCATTGAAAATATTAGTCTACAAGTGTAAATAAAAATAATCATAAATCATGAATTAAGATGACAATTGAATTAATAATTAATTTTTTCAAATAATACAATTATTTTACCTGATTGCCAAAAACTCCAAGAGAACACGCAGTAGATACTTCAGAAGCTCCAAACCATACAGCAGCTAATCTAGATGGTAAACTTAAGATGAATGCTTGAGAACATGCGATCAATCCTTGACCTAACAATGTTATTAAAAATTTATCTGGCTCAGCCGAGTAAACTTTAAGCCAAGCTCCCAATACTGTTCCGCCAGCTCCAATCAACATCGTTGTTTTGAGGCCCTAAACGTAATTATTACTTATTAATTAAAATGCGACTCTATCATACCAAGAGAAATTTATCATTAACACAACATTTATTGTAATATGGTAATACGAAGAAGATAAAATTTCAATTAATATTGTTTTCAAAATGTTTATGAATTTACTTTCTTGTCGAGCAACCACGATGCTGGTACTAACAATGGCACATATACCAACATGTAAATAGTAGAAGTCAGATCAACAGAATAATTAGATACTCCATAAAACTTTCCAGTTATATTGGATATGATACTGTATTGTATCCAATGAGCCGCGTTTGACATAGAGTACAATATGTAAACTCCTAGTATAATCCATCTTGATTTATAAAGCTTTAAAATTTCTTGTTTTTCTTGGTTAGTTGTGGATAGCATTTTCTTCTCGATGTTTTCTTGACGTTCATTATTTATATTTTGTATGACCGAAGCAAAATTTGCCATCGCCGTTCGCTTATCTGTACAATCATGAAAATTTCGGTTTATGTATGGAGCTATCTTTAATATTAAAAAGGTCCTTACAAAAAATTCAGTTACTTACCGGCGAGTAGCCACTTGCGCGAAAATGATTACAAGTGACATCGTGTACTGACCGATTTATTATAATAGTCACTGAGGTTGTGCGAATAATTTGGTAAATGGTCAGGACTAAACTAGATTATCTCCTAACATCACATAGAATCTAATTTATTTCAAAGAGGGGATTCGAATCAAAGTGCTATGATTAGATTATGAAAAAATAAACAATACGTGTTGCATATTTATTTTGCATGATAACTCAACTTGTTAATTAACAGTCATGTGACTAGAGTAAATAGAGAAATAATCTATATGTCAAACTAATTTTTAAGGTAAAAATTTACAGTAGAGGTTTAGAATAATTTTGTTATATTATTAATGCAAGTAGATAATTTCAGATTAAATTTTAGCTTTAATACGTAGCTGAGAAACCAGTGGTATTACTCCTACATGATTTTTTTTTAGAGACAGTATACACAATTATTCGGCTCATACTGAACCGCTTTTAGTCAACGATGCGTCAAAAGATTACAAATCGTATCTAGTTGTAGTTATTAGCGCTATATTTTGGATAAATTCCCCTATATTACCATAATAAAGGGAAACGAGTAAAAAAATTACAATTTTTATGAGTTGATATTGATATTTTAATTATTATATTACAGAGTGATCCATTTAACATTGACCAGCAAATATCTTATCTTATCTAATATGTGTCTTTACGAGCCATCATAACCGCTGCAATTAACTACCTGTATTACAAGTCTACCCGTTTTATACATATATATAGGTAAAAAAAATCAAAACTTTAAAGTGAAATAACATGCAAACTAATCGACTTAAATGAAAAATTCAAACGCTAAAAATTATAAAAAAAAAAAAATCTATCAATATATCTAACTAAAAATATGTTTCCATTTGAAAAAAAAAAGTTGGTACCTTTTTAAGGCATAAGGGATGAACCTAAAAATTATCTGATCATGGATAAATGTAGAGTTTTATGTAACTAAAATAATTAAAAAAAAAAATTATTAAAATAATAAATAGTTTTTGAGATATTTGCTGGTCAATGTTAAATGGATCACCCTGTATATAGTATATGACAAAAGCAATAATAAGTTTCGATCACTTGTTCTTTATGAGTAATTTGTCTCATCAGTTTAACTCCAGTCAGAAATTAACAACTGGCGCAGCATTGCATCAGTACTGACAATTCTAGTGCAGTATGGGACACTAATACTGGAATATATTTGGGATGATATCGTTTTTTCTTACTGACTTATCGGTGCTGGAGATTTTATATAACCAATATTCTGTAGTATGTATTATATAGTATTATTATTCTGTATTATATAGTCAGTACTTTGCCAGCAGTGGCGGACTAGTATTGACCACCAATACTATTGGTATTAAGTATTTAATTGGTATTCGATTAGTATTAAGACGAGACCCAAGCCAGTACTATGCTAGTGCTGACTAGCCAATAGTCAGTCGTCAGGAATGATGCAACACTTCGTCTCTTTTCAATACTGGTATTTAACAAAAGTCCCTAATACATATGATTCATGATTAATATAATAAACTTTTAGCTTCAATGCGAAGCTGAGAAGGTATTAATTTTACTATGATGTGTTTTTTTTCTTTGTGTCTGTTACCAATTTTTCTCTGCTCTCATAGAACTGATTTTTTTTAACGATACGTCCAAAGATCACAAATCGTATCTAGTCGAAGACATTACCCTCAAAAAGAGAAAAAATTTCCTTCGTTCCCCGTAAATGGGGGAAACCTTCAAAAAAATTACAAATTTAAAAATCGCTAATTTTCAAAATTTTTTCAATTTTTTTTACTAAAAACTGCCGTAACTTTTTCAAAAATGAACATATCAATATAATTTTTTTTCATAGATGCTTGATGTTTTTACCTATCATTTGGTATATTTTTTTTCTAAATCTGACCGTTTATCTGCCCACAGGGGGGGATTTAAAATGACAACTTTTTCACAAAAAATTAACTTTTTCAACTTAACTTTTGAAAATGTTCCGGAAGGTCTGACACTTTTATATATATCTTAAATTAAAGCTAATGTAATGTACTTTAATTTGAAAAAAAAAAATTGACCTCTGGACTTGTCTTCATGGTGAAAATGGCTACCAAATGCTATTTTTGTGTGAAAATTCTCGATTTTATAATTTACAGTTTTAACTTTATAATGCTATAACTTATTGAAAAGTGTATGGATCAACACAATTTTTTTATGAGAAATAATATTTTTTAATAATCCCTTTTTCATTCGACATACTTTATCTTAATCAAGATATTAATAAGGAACTAGCAGATCATGTAGCTTTTGGAATAATACACAAATTTTTTTAAAATTAAACACAATCTAAAGATTTGCATCGAAGCGTTTATTTTTGATAGTGATTTTAATCACTGTCAGATATCATTATACTTGATCCAATTATGCCACGGCACCACTGTGCCGCGACCCCTCTGTGCTGGGTTTTTTTTTTTAATTTGTTTTTGTTTCAAAGCGTTTTACAACAGTTATTTTAAGTACTATTAAATATCAATCAATACAGGCAATCTAGTTAATTATCTAGATAAAAATAATATTATTTTAGCTTGATGACTAAATAAACTACTATCTAAATGTCATCTTTGATAGGTTATTGTTATCTAATAAATATTTTATTAATCTACAAAAAAAAGAAATGTGTCAGCAATGTTTAAATTTAATGATATTTTCCAAAAAATATTTTATCATATTTCATGTACTTTTACATAACACATTATGATAAAACTATAAACTACAGGGGTGTTGTTGTGTCTTATGGTAATATACTTACACATAATTAATATTCCAGCGATTTTTTGATAAAGCGAATTTCATTTAATGAGCATTATGCTTGCATGCAAAATAAAGCTTCTTCAATTTACTAAGCCAATCCAAAATCGTTTTTTAAGAATATTGCGCTATAAATGTAATATTAAATTCATCATATTAACCAACATTATTTCAATTTAAACTTGACTCCTTAGAGGATAAAGAAATAAATTTGATATTTGTTTTGTTTTCAAATTATTAAATGGTTTTATTGATTGTTGTAATTTATTTTCTAAATTAATGTTTTTGGTTCCTGGCTGTACAAACAGCCAAACCGATACTTTTTATGTCAATTTCAACGAATAGTATATGTGACTTGTAAATAACTATATTGTTACGTACACTTAATGCTCTTAATACTTCGTTAGTAAATGTATTTCATATTACTTTATTAATTATACAATTCACACATAGAGTCAAATATTTCCATAAAAATTATTAATCAATCTATTGAAAAAAAATAGTATTAGAAACTTTTTGTTATAAGAGGACGACAGGTTTTGATAATAAATAGTAAAAAGAATTAATTCATAGAATTATTTGCAATAATTTTGAAAATAACAATAAACATACATAAATTACCAAAAAAAAAAGATAGAAAAAACTATTATAATAATTGTTTAAATATGCTAATAAAGAAAAAACTGCTTAATTAAAAACAAAATTAATATATTTAATCGAAAAATAACTATATGTTAATTTATGATATAATAAGACTTAATCACGTATGAATAATATATGTTTATTTCGTGTTGTAAGTACCGACTACTATTACAGGATAAGTTTTTCCCCAAAAATACATAAAAAATTATAAAACACCTTATATACTGGATTACGATATTGTAACGAAATAGCTAAAATGGTAAAATATTGGAGTAAATTCGTTGTTCAAAAAAAATAGTTATTAAGTAGTTTTTTCAAGAATAACATAAAAAAAATGATGAGAACAAGTAAAAAACAAACCAAGCCATCATTATAGCTCCAACTTCGGACTAGTAATTGTTGCACTGGACATAAAATCTACAACGAATTATTTATGTATAAAATATATATCTGAAAGTAATCGCAATAACTAAAACATCGATTTATCATAAGTAATATATTTTAAAAATATATTTGAAATATTATTTTAAATCTAAAAAATATATTTAACTTAATAGCAACAAAAATTACTAAAAAATATTTATACGTATTTCAGAAACAATGCTTTACCATCATCAACGCTAAACACAACGACTAGAAAAACTCCCTAGTATTTCCCTAGTATATTATTCACCTAAATGATGTTATCACCTAGTCGATTGTCACGTTTTGTCAGTTTACACGAGTTTAATGGTGAATTGTTCAGTGGCTCAAGATCCCAATTAATTAAATTATTCTTATTTTTAAACATTTTTATTGCCTCCCTTCTATTAAGTTCCTTGTAATTATTTACATTTTTAATTAGTCTTATGGTTTTAATAGAATGATTATGTATCAATAAATGTTCAGCTTTAGGAGATTTATAAACTTCTTAACTTTTAATGTTTCTTAAGTGTTCTATAAACTTGATCGTTATTGTCCTTTATGTTTGTTCTACGTAATATTTATTATAACTTTTTCATTGTATAAATGTCTGATTTCCCCCTTATTCTACTTTATCATTAGAGTTATTTAATAAATCTCCTAAGTTATTATTCTTAGATATTACTAAAATAATACCAAAATTCTTAAAAATTCTAGGAAGCCCATTCGAAATGTCCGAATAACATAAAAAAGGAGGCCCTAATTGCTTTTAGATCCCCTACACTAGTCAGTGTACTATCTGCCATCGTTTCACCTTTGTGTTTTAATTAATTTTGAAATTATTTTTTCGTCATACTCATTAAATCAAGCTATTTCTTTTATAATTTCCAGTTGTCTATTAAAATCTATTTTCTTCATCAGAATATTAACTAATCTGTAAACGATACTATTAGAAGGTTATAACTAATATCCAATAAATAAATTAGTACATTATTAAGATCACTATTATATTAAAAAAAAAAATCATGACTATATAGAGTGTTCAGTAAGGAAACGAGTTTCTATTGTTCTTATTGTTTATAACAATTAATTTGTTTCCATATTTACTGAACACTCTGTTATTATAAATCAATACAGTACATAGATAAATAAAAATATAATGTAAATGTCATTCTTAATACACATCACTCCATTTCATTACTGTGTATATTTTAATTGTGCGATATAGCTGTCATATATTGATTAATTTCATTATTGCTTTATAATTATATTAATCAA